ATTGTTGACAAATGTGCGTATTCGTTTAGTTCATTATCGCAATTCCTTTGCAGAAGTTGTGCATTTACAGTGCTACCAATGAACTCATTTGCTTTTTCCTACTGAATTCCACTCGGATGTTCTTTTCGTTTCTCCGACAGCTTCTCGCATTCTTCATGAGAGATGCATATATATACACATCAATCTAATCTAAAAGCATACAATCCCAATGGTATATTCGCAGAATGGTGTGAATATACTTCTGAAGACTTGCAATCGAATGAATTCACCAACGGATTGGTTTCATCGGAAATTCGAGTATTGTCAAAGTGATGCCAATTCTAAATTTACTGAAAAATGATTCAAAACAAAATCTTGCAAACACAAATCATCATTTTTCTTACTGAAATTCACCCACGTTTAGATCAACGTAACAGCTGTCGATATTGCCGTTTTCAGCGGTGTCTAGAAGTTGGTATGGATCCAAAAGGTATTCCATTCACTATTTTTTATTCACATTCTATGAGTGTATACATTTGAGCGAATGCTGAAGAAACAATTTTCAAAAACTCACAAGATCCAGCCTTAATGATAGCAAGTATTGAATTGAATTAGTGTGAATCTCACCTATCATTATTACCAAGTATACATGCACACATTGCTCATTTCAACTGCATAATCCACCAGAATAACACTGCTTCGTTAATCTCGTCAGCATTGCTATTAGGTGCACTTAAACAAGTTTTCATCACTATTCTCTATCTTCTTCGGTGGATCGAAGAAATATCATAAATTTCGTGTGATTAAGTTAGTGTGNGTTTCACTAGTTCCATGTTTTCACGCTTCTTCACCAACAAAAGAAAGTTATTGTCTTAAGTAAAATGAAATCAAATTCTCCAGTGTTATTTCTTCACCTTTTTGAAGCGAATATCATTTACAGTGTATTGACCGCTTACATTTTGTTCTTTAAAACGGAAGTTATTAAACTGTATATTCATGATGAGAAATACTTCTCAACTAAAGTATCGAATCGGATTTGCAGCTGTAAGACCTGATCGCGATTTAACCGGTAAACAAAAAGTACCTCGATTACGAAAACGTCAAATCGATGAGGAGTTGCTCAATCACATGGTTCAGAAAAATATTCACTTTTTACGATTCTTATGCTGTTTTGAATAAATGCAATTTAAATTTCTTTCGATCATCTATTTCTGATCAGCTGAAAATTCCCATATTCAATTTAAAATCCGAGCTCTGATTTATCAACTCAACAAGGGGAATGCTTACTTATGACAACTGACGTTAGCGAGCAAAAAGCTCTAGATTCACTTTAATATGATGAATCTTCATTTCTGTTGAGAGNAAAAGTTGCAATATGTTGTTTTCAACATTTTATAAGAACCTCTCTTTGATGAGTGAAATGAAAGCTGATCAGCTGAACAGTTGATTTGCAGATACGTTTGCAAGGTGACGATTGGTCTCGGAAGTTGCCTGTAGAAGCGAGAATCCTTTTGATGCAATTGATGAATATCGAGGCTAAAGTGGTTCGAGGTGACACGGCATCTACGGTCAGCGAGAATATCTCGTCGAAGAATGTCTCGTTAAGAGAGCTCTTTGAACAGAAACCAATTCTTGACGGCAGGCGGACAGAAGTGCGTAACTGTTGCTTTTTCATCTGATAAAATTCAGATGAGATTTCACTGATTGCTGGAAATTTGGAAAAATGTACCCGAAAGTTGTGACAAGAATGCTTGTTTCATGTCTACATCATTTTAAGTCACCAATTGAAAGTTAATAGTTTGCAGCAATTCAGTGCATCGCAATTTTGATAAGAAAAAGTTTCACAAATGTTCAATAAAATATAGGACAGTTCTATGGATGTCAGATAGCCTCGCACTACCTCTATTTGATCTAACTGAGATACTTGAATGTTGCAAAGAATGAATCGCTGCGACGTTTGGCTAACGAAAGATCAAGGAATACTATCAATAGTTAATACAGTAACACTGAAACGTAATCAAACGAATGAATATGAAGCAATAATGATAAAATAAGGTGAATGAGCGTATAACAACTAAATGAGGTGTTATTAAGATGCGTTATGAACCGTATCGAATGGCACGAATTGATGAACTACCTCTGATTGCACATCGACGTGCTATAGCTGCTGTGGATTGGGTTGATTCGTTAACTGAAATTGCTGATCTCACCGGTACTGAAGATAAGGTATCACTGAAATTTTAGTAATCCCGCAGTTGAATATCTTGCACTGTTTGTGAGAGTTCTCAACGAATTCAAACGTTTTTTGAAATGTTCTCTCGCAGTTTGAATGACTTCATGTTATCTATTCAGTATTCGAAATCATTGATGAGGTAATCTTTTTGTGTCGAAAATATGCATGCGTTCATGATTCCCGACCAACATTGCTCGTAGAATAGCGAGTATCCTTTCTGTTGCTGTGAAGATGATGAGATTATCATCTGTGAGCTGTCAAATAGTTCAGGTTCATGTCACCTTTTAATATGAATTCAGAAATGCTTGTTAAAGTCCTTTCCCGGATTTTGATCTGTGCTATGACCTGAGAATTCAAAAAAGTGAACCATTTTTTCAGGTTGCATTGGTGAAGTCGTGTTATTCTCCATTAACAATCTTCAATTTTTCCGCGCGAACGGCACAGAACACAAAAAATCCAGATATACTTTGTCTATGTAGTTTTTCGTATGTTCCGAGGAAATTACCTCCTGAATTCAATCAAACCAAGTAAGTGGAGATGCATTAGACTTCTTTTTGATGAGTTCTATCTTAAAGAAAACTCCTTCAGTTTCCATACAGCCACTGAATCGACTAAACTTTGTTCACTTTATTCTGTTGAAATTGCAATTTTAAATTTGAATTTCTAGTCAACTCTCCGATAACCTCATTGATCGTACACTCAACGAATTGGTTGCACCATTAAGGAAGTTAAACTTGAAAGAGGAGGAAGTTGTTCCGCTCAAAGCGATCATTATATTGAATCCAAGTTGGTTTTTTATACTCAGTACTCCTCACTTCCCCTTCTTTCTTTCAAGTTTTCACAATCTCTTATAGAGGGATCTCGATTTTGAAAAATATCGGCTCCAAAATGATTTCATCGAATCATTTCAAATCCAAATACTTCTTAGAATATAAACATTACCTTTCCTATTTATGCAGTTTCCGGATGCATCGTAGCTGATGTTGAATGCTTCAGATGCAAAAGGTCTTTCACCGAACGCAAAACAAGTAGTCTCCGAACTGCGCGATCGTGTCCAAGACATGCTCTTTCAAGTTGTCAAAGAACTGCATCCCGTTTATAACGCATCATCACGATTTGGCAATCTTCTTCTCCTATTGCCCACTATTATGGTATTTTTAAACGCTGACCTCTTACACTGTTCTTGCTTACCTTCCCGGTTGACATGGAAGTATGGCGGAACAGTGACTTTCCAGTGAGTTATGATACTGAGAGTCTCGACGGTTATCAGTCTCTGCTCTTGTGCAATTCCCATTTGTCGCTCATTGTTCCCATTACATAATTACCCAATTCGTTATAGTCGTTTCCCGAATGAAATCAAATCTCTTCGATGACGTATCGTAATTTTGCAGACACTATCGGGAATTATGTGTGAAAATCTACAGTTTGTTCAAGCGTTTGGTGGACGACATACTGGCGATCATTTGCTGGGCGAAATGTTCGGTGATGTTTGCGCTAAGCTCGAAGAACCTGTCACATCTTCTTCGTCACCACCAACGTTCGAGAATCCTGCCGAAATATCTCTACAGGTATGGCGTTCGTCTCGCTTGCTGAACATTTCTTGATATTATTGCAGTCAGCATCCTTGGATTTGAGTGAGCACAAATAGTT